CAAGGAAAGTAATGGTCGACTGGAGACCAGCATTCCCTAGTTGTAAGAACGAAACAGTTGAATCTAGAGGGAGAGATCTCTTGTCCTGGAAATAGTATAGTCGTGCAAATCGTACCTCTCTTGGAAATAAGGTCACACCTACATCCAAGTGCCAATGGCATTTCGTTGTGGTCATGACGACGTAGATAATCCAATCGAGAAATTGTTCCGGTGCCTGTTAAAGCCTCTGGAGTTTTAACGTATACCGAGAGATATTTCTCGTGTTAGAATATAAAGCTTATAAATTTTATCGGCATCGTTTGCATCTCTAACTTTCCATATATTTTTCTTATTGCTTTATTGAACTTATGGAGAGATTTGTGGAACAATATCCATACAGTATCAAGTTTTTCCTTTTTCCCATTCAGCTTTATAACTTTTACCGTCCAAAATTTTGGAACTCGTATTATTTTTAAACACTCTTATTCTCATCAATTAATTTGAATTCATGGGAAAGGTTAGTAAAATCATCATTCCTTTTACTAATTATTCACAATCATATATCTCTTAAAAAAAATGTAAATATTTGGAATAGTAAGTAAACGTCAAATTTGGCCGACAGCAATTCGATGGCCTTTTAGTCCATGTCCAGTAGTATGTGGCACACAGCTCAATGAAAATCCGCATGTTTGATGATCCTGCATACCAAGCACCACATACCGCATGTTTAGTATGAACACACAGTAAACGTTTGTATACTACATTTATTGCTCATATGCGTCGCAATTTTCTGCACATTGTCTGTTAAATTACACTCTACTTAAGCTGTCAACGTGTGTTGAAAGTTTTTTATTGAATAATAGTTTAATTTATGTAATAGAATTTAATAATCAAAGTGTCTATTCAATTCAATTACATCAAATAACATCAAGAATGAGATTGAATTTAACTGTTGTTGTCGAATAAAATAGAGAAGACGAAAAAGTAAATAATATTTAAAATAAGTGACAAGTAATATGAATACTTTGAGACAGAAATGTCGGTGTTCTTCTTTCGACTACACAACCTACGTCGGCAGGCTGAGGAAGCACAAAAAAAACGAGATCGTCGAGGCACAGGCCAAACTGGCCAACGTGGGACCAATTGTGGGGACCAATCCCAGCCGACTGCTGGATCTATGCAATGTTGCAACAAAGTTCACCGAGGACCAAGTAAACTTTTTGAAAGAGCTCCATTACAACCAAGTGATTCACTAGACGAAATTGCATTTCAAATACCGAGGTAAGATATGCATGACATTTCCAATATCTTTTTAAAATGTGTTTTATTGATTGAAAAGAATTTCACCAATACAGTTGTACAATACCACTGTCCCAATTTACCATTGTAGATATTTTTATTTTACATTAATATCTATATTTGACCTAAATATTTAAATATAATATTACTCTTAAATGTCAAATATATATATTATGCCCGCAATACCTATTGGCCTCCGCGTTTTGAAGTAAAATTATTTCAAAAAAATGAATCTACTTTTTTCGAAAAAAAATAGGTATCATAAATTTTAAATTGTACGCTGTCCGATGCGGCCTGCGGCTGCATCGTTTAAGAAAAAAAGAACCACCTTGCAAGTACAGCGTACCAAGTTACAAAAATTTGGTTAAGTAAGGTTAAGCATGGGGAAAACCTAGTGGACTACGTCGCCAAATGAGTTCAGAGCGTCATATTAAAGAGTTGATACGGAGGCAACAAAGGCATATAGGCGTATTTATACATATATATACACATTAATAAATAATCTTGCATTTATTACAACTTAAATGAAGTAACTGGCAGGCAGGCTCACTTTTATCCTATTAGGGGATGAAAAAATGTTGAAAAAAATTATATTCATCACACTTTTATGGTAAAACAACTAATGTAACAAGGATTTTATTGAGCTTGACATCTCTTTTGACTTTGAATAAGCCGGAAACTCTTTAGAAATGCTACCTGTCTTGACAACAAGTACAAGTAGCTAAAAGAAGATGGGAAAAAATGAAGTCATCGTATCTTATGCTACTATAGTATACTAGTAGTACACTATAGTGTACTAGTCTTGTATACACAAGCATCAGGGGTCAAGAAGTGGTAGACTGAAAAGCACTTTCTTCTATTCCCTCACTTCCGCCCTTGGAAGCTTTTCTCTAGAAACTTCTTGTGCTTCATCTTATTCTATTCTTCATATTGCATCCGTTGCGACTCAGATGCTCCAACAACTATGAATATACGTAAGGTTCGTTAAAATGATGAGGTAAACGAATGTCACCTACTTGGTGGCATCTTGAATGGCATCTTCAAGATAACGAGGAAAGGTGCAAGACTAAGAAATAACAAAAAAAGACATATTAAGGTTATTGATGAGACAATATACAAATTTATCTGGAATGTTCATTTATGTTTGTATTTTTTATTAATTCGCCAACCGCTCACTCTAACTACATTTATTACTTTAACTCTTCATACTAATCAAAATAGTTTGACCAAAAATGGAATATGTTAAAATATAATCATAAACGAATCTAAAATTAAGATGAATTTTATGAGACGTTTTGAAATTTTTCATCTTTTTTTCATAGTTAGTAAGATTAATCAGATTTTTCTCTTTATTAATTTTTTTTTTTTAAAGATATAAAACAAAAATATTACTTAAAATTTTTTATTTATTTATTAATATTACAGTGAAAAAAAATTACCATTTTCATTTCTTAAGTAATGATTATCTTCATTCATTTTCTATCCATTAAAATTTTTCCTGAAAAATAAAATCAAACTTAGTTTTAAAATAACTGATTCCAGGTGTAATAATATAATGCATTAACTCAGCTGGTGATGAACTGAATCACTATTACCTTGAGAGAATCTTTTCTAACTATTTACTTTCCCCTCATAAACTAGGTTGGAGCATCTTCCTTTGGCTGTCGGATCGTCCTCGTGTCAGCATTCAATCTTACCTTCAAGTCCACGTCTACTTTAATATTCTAGAAGAGAATTTTCAATGTAGTTATTTCTAATCGTATCGGCTTTTTCAAGACGAAAGTAATTCGTTAAAATTTTATTTAATTTATTAATTGTCTTGTTTTCATGCAAATTTTCTATGCTTTCTCTAATTTCTGCAAACGCTTTTGCAACAATAAAACATTGTTTTTTGTACGTTGTCATTTTATACAGTTGAGTTTCTATCTAAAGTTAATTTCAAGTATTCATTAAGAAAGAAGATATCAACACAAATAAGTTAATGGTAAATTTACTTTTCTGGGAAGTCCTTTTACTGGTATTTATTAAGATTACATTTTTAATTTTTATAGTAAGCGTATATTTAAAAAAACTTTATATGTTTCAAGAATACTGGAAGTCAAAAGTGAAGAGAAGGTTGAAAATTTTTTAAAAACGTTTTTAATAAAATTCAAAATGACCTAGATAATATATTTTATAATTTAAATAATAAACAAGAAAAATCGAAGTTTAATAGAAACATGAGATTAAATGTTTGATTAAGAGATGATATGAATAATATAGTTGAACATAATAATGATTTTTATGATCCGTAAAATGATATAAACAAATATAATAAATAGATGATAATGATGATCTGTGATAGTTTTATCATGAACAAGAGATGTAGAAAGTCATTGAATAGTAGACAGAGACTCTCATTATTCAATAGTCGTGTCAACATCCCCTTGGTTGTCTTTGTCGGTATAGACAAGAGCCCCAAATCTGGTAGCTCTTGACCTCACTTGAAATCTGTTCACCTATTTGATGCATCGTGATTACCTGCCAATTATTGTCTTGTTATTGGTCTACGACGATTTCCACCAAGCTAGCTTAGCTATTGTGTTTCTCGTGAACATGAATTCTCTGATCTGTGCACCACTCTATTGTATTATTCGATTTGTTCAGGCTGCAAAATCTAGTGAGTCTGCAAGCGCACAATGTGAAGATTTTCTTGAAAAGTCCATCCATAAAATTCTGATCTGCCAATTTCGTCATTGTTGCGTGGAAGCTCTCTGCGCATTATTATATTTTATTCTGGATATTGGTGAATTTGTTGATATTTCAAACGATGTTTCAGCTGAAATTGCAATTTTTTAGGTATTTAGAAATGTTTTTACCCAAAATAAATCTCTATTGAAAGTACATTTTTTGAATAGTGAAAACTAAATATTTTTTTAAATAAAATTTTGTTGAAAAATATTCATTATTAAATTATTCTATCGTATAATTAAACAATCATAAATCATCTGTGTGGACAAAAGAATGTAATTGACAAATTTTGTAAGCTCCTAATGAGTTTTTTTGTTTAAAAGCTTCACTTCTATATCCGCAGTAGTGAATCTCCGGTCGGTAAGGCGGTAAATATTCTACAAAGAAGATTACCGTCACGAGATTGGTGAACAAATGTGGATGTGGTATTGTGTTCACTTTTAGTAATTAATTTTCATGTTTTTATAAATGTATTTAGTGTGATGTATTAAAATTAAAATGATGATTTATATTCGCTTGAGTCAAGGTATTACAATGAACGATACAACTAAAATAAAATTACTGATGTGTAAAATTGCAATATTCGTATCTCAAAGTTGTAAATATAATAATTTAATTCATAAAAACAATAATAATATAAGAAGTACTTTTAATTGATTTTTCAATTTTTTATAGACTTTAACACATGAATGAAAATTGTCAAGAGATATAAAAATAGAAATGGAAGGGAAGTTTATTGATTTCCATAAGTAAAGTTGATTGTTTTTTTTAAATTTAATATGCAGATATGATGAAAAAAAAAGTATAAAAAATAATGTGTAAATTTTGACGGGAATGGTCCAAGTAACGGATGACAATATAGTATATATTTCATCTGACGCTTATTGTTTATTTTTCTGTGTATTTCTACTTGTTCCCCTCCCATTTAGCCAAGGTGACCGCGAGCTTGCGCGGAGGTCGGCCCATAGAGTAACCCAACGTCGACACCGATAGTCGGCGCTCAGCGACGACGCTTTTGCTTCCAATTTACAAACGAGCTCGGTATGTTCGAGCAACGGCGCGCAAATGAAAACGCGCGGTACTAATGGTACTGGTGACAAATTCTACTACGATAAAACCTGAAGAGTCGTTGCATTACTTATTATCGTAATTGTTTTCTGTACGGTAATGCAATTTTTAAAAAGAAAGTGTCGGTGTCTTATTTCTTCAAAACGTCGTCGTTTAGCGAAATTTATTTTTTAAAAAAGATTATTGTTTGTAGAAGAAAACCTCAGGTGAAACAAAAGTTTATCGGTCGAAGAAAGCGACAAAGAAAGAAGAAATGTGGATTGCTCTATAAAAAATAATATAAAATATTTAAAAAATAACTAATAAATATATCATGTGATAAAAGTGGAATTAAGTATTGACTTTATTTATTTATTTAAAATATACCGGATGTTCGACAGATCTTGTGATGTTTATTTTGTTTCATAGACGAATTTTACAAAATTTTCCTACTTAGCTTAAAGGAAATTTATAATATGAAAAGGAAGCTGTTGTAAAAGATCCTATTTGATAAATTATTCAATGAGATCTCTTATACAATAAATCTACTCTTATTACGTGAAGAAAAAGACAATTTTTTAAATAAAAAAATGTTAACAATAAGCAGTGGGTCAAGACAACATAAGGCTTTGTAAGGCTCATCCGAGGATCTAGTTAACGGGTGCGGCATTTATATGGCAGTGACGAAGAGGTGTCTGTCAACGTGTTGATGGTAACAGGTTCAGATTAGTCTCTAGAACTATTTGTAAATGCTCCATCTGCCACTGAAGCCTAACATCATCAATTAAGATCATCAAAATATTTTCAAGACAAAAATGTATCAAAGTGACAAATCTCATAATACGTTGGACAGTCGATATACAAAAGAAAAAATAAATTGACGAAACGCAATAAAAAATCATTAAATAAAAAAAGAGATATATTTTTATCTTTCACATGAATATTTAAAGCTATTTTACTCAGCGAAAATTAAAGAGGATTTGGATTACGAATCCCTCATCACAAGAGTCATGAAAATCTTCAAAAGCGTCGGATTCCACGCACATACTCATACATACATGAAAATAGTTATTGAGATAAATAAAACAACTATAGAAAAATAACAAATAAATAATGATTTGAAAAAAAAAAAAAATTTAAAGTAGAATTATTTATTTTCAAATGACCAAATATCGCTCATACAGCGAAATGAATAGCATACACAAGTATTACAAAATAGTTAAAGGGAATTTATTCAATTATATAATTACCTATAAATAAATAAATAAGTGGAGGTTTAATTATATTAACATTGAACGCTGGTTGGCGGGTCCAAAAACGTAGGATTATACAAATAAATCGTGAGCGCGAGCGAAGCAACGTGCAAATATTAGGCTTTAACGTTTGTTATCAACTATAAAATGGTCCAATGGAAAAATTAGTAATTGAGGTCCAAATTTTAGTGTCTTAGTCCTGATATATTTGTGTAACTTTGATGTATTTTTTATGAGTGTTTACTTGCCTCGCACAATTTGACAGAATACAACAGTGCGTGTTAAATAAATCAATACTCATAAAATATTTAATCTAACAAAGAAGATAAAATATAATTTAATACTACATCTAATAATTCGGTGTGGAGTAATTAATCTAAAGTTCAAATATCATTTAATATATAAATTTATTTATTTCTGTTTTTATATGAAACATGAGTGGGAAACATGATTGATATCTGTCACGTGAAATGGTGAACACTAATCAGATAATTACTACTGACACATAGTACAGGTGTATTGTACCACAACGCCTTTATCGACAGTTATACAATGTTGTAATCACTGTAGGAACCATAGCAATGGCGAGTTCTAGTAGATACAGCAGCTACAATTGTCTTACTAGTTGGGATAGCTACGATAGGATTCCAAGGTATTGTAAAAATTATGCTCTCATTTGCAAAATTAATTTGATGCAATATTATTTATAAGATAATTTAGATCTCAAGCTTATCAAGAGATAGAAAATACTGAATTAAAATTCATTGTCAGCTCGAATCTCAGTCACATGCTGAACTAAACAAACTAATCAGACGTTGCTATCAACAAAATCCGTCAATTGTCTAATACACAAATACATACACATATTTTATCACATTATGTTTATTTTCCCTCGTATTCTAATTTATTGTATACTGATCAAGATTACCTTGGATATGATTTACCCATTGAATTTGATTTGAGTTTAGTTAACACTGACAATTGATATGTCATTCTTATCATTTTTCTTAGTACTTTAAATGGCTGAAATTTTTCAGAAAAAGGGTCATCATTATATTACATATGGAATATCATTTAATTACATTTGATTATTGATATTAATATGGTATTGCAATAGTTTTTTAATCATCACAAATCCTTAGTTATGCTGAAATAAACTTAATTGATTAAAAGAAAAATTAAAATACAACTGCAACAAGTTCGTATTATTATTTTTAAATTAAATAATATATGAAATAATTTAAAATCGACCAACAAATTATTATTCGAAAGATTGTATATGAGAATAAACGGATATACAGAATGTAATGTAAAAAGAATAAAATAAAATACAGGAAATTTCCAAAGATTAATATAAAGCGTTTTTAGAGCGTTAGAGGGTGAATAGAAAATGTCAAATCAATAATAAAAAAAGTTATAATGGTACATTATGCAGCAATACATACGTCATATCATATTTATATATTGTTTATTATATCTATTATATCCATTAGGGTTAATAAAACTCATACTGAAACTACATACGTTGAAATTATATTTTATTTATGTACAATCAATGCATTTATGGTTTATTTTTCCCATACGTTATTTTGTTTATTATAATATTTTATAATGGATAAATAATTCTTAATATCGATTTTCCACTCTATATATTTAAAAATAATTAATATAAATGAATAGAAAAAAGTAAATTAATTAAAATTTTACCGTTCATCATTAACTCATTAAAAACTTTGGAAGTATGTTTTAAAGCAGAAACAAACTATTTAAAAGTTGACAGTAAAAAGTTTCTTTTATATTTGAATTATTTTTTTATCATTGAAAAAATACTATGACAAAGTTTAAGAAACAAGTGGTCGATAAATATTTAAAGTTTTGTGTCGTTTTGATAATTTTAACTTTCTCCTCGAACTTGTATAAGTGAGCAGGATGTTCGTGTATTCTAACCAATAATTTAACTTTCAGAAGCACTTTGCTGACGAAATGCGCATTGCCATTCCAATTGTACTCTCATTTTACCATTTACGAAGCAAAAGTTCCTTCAATTGCTTCAGGCAAGCTCTCAAATGTCGAATACTTATATAGTCTTGTCTGAAAATCACGGTTAGATGGATCAAGGCACTTCAATGGAACATGAGTTATTGTGACAGCACAGCTATACAATAGAAGGATATTTGATTTGAAGAAATTCATTACCAATGATTATCCATTTTTTCATTATTTTTTGATACTTACATTCATTTATTAACTTCCTACTTGGAAATTATTTTAATGGATTCGATTTTTCGGAACAAAGAAATACCCAATGCAAAAAATTATTTTTGTTAATTTTCCATTTTTCAAATATAATTTACTTGAAGACTATAAAAACCCTTTATTGAGTAAACATACTTTCTTAGTGTCCCCATATTGTCCCGATCTTCCTAATTTGAGTGTACGTACTTTACGTTCGTGAACTTTCCTTTGTTTCACATATCTCAGGAACAATTAAATGATGTTGATTTTTGACCCATTTCATTCAGTGGGTAATTGCAAAAAACTACTTGATTATGTTTTCGAGAATTCTGAAAAGTCTATAACCTTTAGAAGTTAGTAGTTTAAACCTCTTTTTTTGTATTGATGCTGTTGAGGAATTATGGGCATCGTTTTAAATCACTTTATAGTTTTTTTTCTTATTTAAGAATATGGTAATTAGAATTAAATTCAAATCCAAGTTGGTATCAATTGTTTATTAGATAAATATATTTTAAAGGGGTAGGATGTATATTGATTGATATCACGTCCCTGTAGGGCCAAAAGTAGCCAAAATCTGACGTCAGAATCTATCGACAGACTTACGTACGTCTGCTTCCTTTTTGCGGTAGCATCTGACATCTGACGTTGATCTTACGTTTGTCTGCGCCTAGGAAACCAATAGAGAGCAACATATGTAAGTCTGACGGCAGTCTGTTTCCTAATGGTTACGAGGGCCATTATAATAGACCATAGAGGTACCATAGATGGACTTGAAATAGTTTGTTTATAGAACAATGTAAGATGTGTTTTATAATTATTAGTTATTTACATTTAATAAATGACAAATTTATATATCATTAATAAAGGCTTAAATAGAAAATACCTGTTTGAATGAAGGAATTATCATGAATATATTATCTGGATATATTTGTTAAGTGTATCTTCAATCGGCTTTTAAAAGTGTTTTAATGAAACATGTCATAAATCGTTTGATTAATATTGACGTCATCATGGTAAATCCAAAGTAATAAACATATCTATACATGTTATATCTATATTTACACATTTTCAATGTTGAACACCGTAAACAAACTATAGGCTTTAAGAGACCGTAAAGTGTACTAAGAATGGCTACTACGTTCTATAGTTTGTATGTAGCGATTCAACATTAAACACACTTGAGGTGTATTATTTTAACACACTTTAAATTTACAGTAATATTTATATACTTTAAACGTGTTAAAATAATACACTTTTAGAGAGATTCTGAAAAATGTATTTAAAAAAATGACAAGTTGTTGGAAAATAGTGCAACTAATATTTATTTTCTTTAATTTATTTAAACTTGAATTATAAAATATACGTTTCATTTCTCTTCAATCAACATAATTATACATTACTTTTTCAACTCAATTAATACAATTTTTTATAATGAGATTTTTAGTGTTTAATAAATGAGAGGAAAAAATTGAAAAAAAAATCCTGATAAATAATTCAATGGAATTTTAGAGGTTATCTGTTGGGTGTGAGGGGGGGGGGATGTGTAGGTAACTGTCAATAGGCGGAAAGTCACGATTCTCGAATATATTAATTTTCGATTTGAAAGCTAATTGTATCGATTACCTGAGAGTAAAAGAATTTGTTAGTTAAGAAACATTTTACGGATAACGAGAGAAGTCCATCGGGAAAGTAGTTACATTAGTTTTAGTAGAGTTTTAAAAGTAAAGGTAGGAAAAAAGTGTAAGAGTCTCGAGGGTTGTACTCTAACAAGAGTGGAATTAAAAAAAACGAAAAAAAAAAAAGAAAACTATTGGTGAGATACTTTAATTAAGTCGTTCAATCTCCTCGTTTTTCAATGACTTTTACAATCTGTTTATTCGTTTTTTTAGTAAATTGAATAAAAAAACAAATAAATAGCAATCAATAAATCATTGATTTTTGTACTATGCAACATATATATATTTTTTAACGTATTATTTCTAAAAAGAATATGAACAAAATAAAATGATCTGTCTTGTGTAATACTGACTTTTGCACAAATTTGTTTGTAAAAAAAAGTTTATTCTTTTCAATGGATCAATACGTTCAGGACAATATCCATACAACGCATTCAGTTGAATTATAGCAAACGAAACTTCGACAATGTTCAGACTGTGACACCAACGAATCGATCGTGAGTACTTTCGTATATGCAGGTAGACGACACACAAAGCCAATATTCACTACTCCCGGAAAATCATTCAACAGCGTTATCAGCAGTCTTACCAGTCTTTAAAACACATTTCAACCGCAGGTGTTTTCATTCGAACATTAAAGCTGTATCAAAGTGTTAAGATCTCAATCTCTATCATTCATTTGTCGATATGTCAATTATGCAATTTAAATTGATGATACTAACGGCGAATCATGATAAAAAAAATACTTTAAAACGAAAGAAGTAAAAAATAATGATACATTATTTATGTATTTTTAATTAACAATAATCTTGATTGATTTTTCACAAATCAGATTATCAACAGTAAATTTAAACCAAATTTATCCAGTTCATTACTTTTCAAGAACTCTTTTTAAATGTTATATGTTTTTTAATGAGATTTCAACTTTAATTCGACATATGATTGAATTTTTTTTTTATCAAGTTAAATTTATTTACATTTTTATTATTAACTCTGAATGAATAAAATATATAATAAAAAATAAATTCGCTGTGTAAGAGGACGAAAATAACGAGTAGATGTATTTAATGGTATGTTTTAGGGTTGTATAATAGTTCATGTGGAAAGTAATTAATTTTCACTACAGTTTCGTCAATTTTGGTTGTTTCAGTAATTGAATGTCATCATAGTATTCTATAATTAGACATGTCATCATCTTGATTAAAATTTGATATTGATATACTTCTACCATGAAAATAACATTACGATATATTTACTAGTTTATGCTGGATAGGAATAATGTAAAATGTCTATAAACGACAATAATCTCTTCAGTAATACTGTTTTCAAACATAGCAAACCGTGGATTATTTGTGTATCTTTTCTAGCCAATCACACTATTTAGATTCAATGAATTTTTAAAATAAACAGATGAATCAAAACTCTGAGTTATTTTCATAAACTTAATATACATATTTAATTTCGATCTGATTTACAATAATTATCTAGTTTGTTAGCTTTTCGCAATGGACTGTTTTTCTTACAGATTTTCAGTTGCAATTAAAGTGGCGAATGAGAACTACTCGAAACAACAATTGAACCATCAAATGAACCTAGTTCATACTAAGTTAAATTACAGAGTTCAGAGTTTTCGTCGAATGCGGATAATACAGATATTTCAATTAATCAAATAAAATATTGTATTGAAAGAATTGATTTTTATTTTAATCTGGAAAAAATAAATAAAGCATAAGAAGAAATA